ACCCTGGAGTAGGGTGGGTTCTGAATCCCATATGACCAGTGTCCTGATGAGGGGACAGCCATACACAGAGGGAAGATGATGGCCACGTGATGATGAACGCAGAGACCGGAGTGATGTGTCCACGAGCCGAGGCATGCTGGCAACACCCGAAGCTAAGAGAAAGGCATGGGGCAGATTCTCCCCTAGAGCCCTCGGAGACAGCGTGGCCCTGCTGACACCTGGATTTTGGACTTCCAGCCCCAGCAACGTGAGAGAATACATTTCTGTGGCTTTAGACAAACTGGTTTGTGATACTTTTCTTAGAGCAGCCACAGGGAACGAACACATTACGGGAGCTTCTGTGTTTTGACTAAATAAGAAAAACTTTTGCTCCTCCGAGAACATTTCAGGTGTACCTCCTGCCGTGTCCTGATAGAGCTTACGATGAAACTCCGCAGATAGCAGAGGTTTTCAACGCTGACTTTGAGAACCCTGAATGGGTCTTCTTACGCGGTATACTTCGTGAGCTTTCTGGTCTTATGTCTGATCCTTGAACCAAATTTTCCTGACGGGCACATGTTCCGTTTCACACATTTCTACGTCATACCTGGGGACTCTGACCCCTCTGTGCGATGAGAGGCTCCTGGCGGCAGCCCAGTGGGAGGCCCTGGCTGGTTTCCAGTCTCGGAAGGACTAGACCTTCCTCCTCCTTCAGGAGAGTCTGCGGAAGATCCTATCCCTTCCCCTTGCCTGTGGCACCTTCCAGCTGCTGCGATGGTCCTGTAACCCTGTACTACCTGCTCACGGTAGCCACACCTGGACCGAATCTGGGTGGCAAGCAAAGGCCTGACAGCCCGTGCACATTGACCCCATGAGTTGACCCCACCGTGCTGTTTCCTCAGTGATATATTTCTGACCTTTGAAACCAGGGGACAAAGTTACAAAACAGCGAGTCCCTGGTTCTTTATGTTGCTATCCCGTGGACTTTATGAGTTCACGGTTCTCATCCATCTCCTGACAATACTGCCCTTATTCTTTCACCATCGTCATGGAGGAACATGGAATGTCCTCAGAGTCCACCCTTGTTTAGATTTCCTTATCAGCTCACCTGGGACACCCACATACTTTCTCTCCTGCCAAGGATGGAATCAGGATGTAATTGTGTCCAAGAGCTGCCACCACCCAGAGAAGTGGGAAAACAGAGCTGGCTGGTAGTCCCTGCCCCATGGCTCCATTCATCTGGCTCGACCCTGGAGGACAGAGGCCTCCCTGTGAAGCAGCCTGGTAGCTCACGATCCCTCAATCTGCCTCTGTCCTTCAGTAACTCAAAGGGCAGCGGGAAAATTATTAATCAAAATCCAAGTGAACCAAAAATGGAATAATTCCACTCAGGACATTTTGTAGGGGTGTGAAGGACTATGCAAACATTTACCATTAAGATGGCAAATCCTCCCACTCTGATGTGGTAAGCTGCTGCTTTCGTAACACTTTATACGGGTCTCATAATACTTTGTTCACCTCATCTATAACTCAGTGCGAGAAAATGTTGTTTACGGGCTTGCGCTCCTGCCCTTGAGGATATGAGTCTCCTCAAGGCAGGAAAGTTTTATTTCCTTATGTGGTAAAACAAACAAGCAAGCAAACAAAAACTGCATAAATAGGAGATTCAGGTCAACCCCCTGCCAGCCTTAGCTGGACCACGTTGAGTCAAGGCTCCCTTTCCTAAGACTGCCTTTGTGAGCTAATTTTTAAATTCTAGCTACTAATTTGACCCAAATTTGGACAAGCCAGGGTCCAGACGACACTAGATCTTCTTGCCATGACCTCATTTTGGGGGGCACAGTAGCAACATCTGGACATGGGCAAGGGTAGAGAAAAAGAAAGTTGTCAGGTAGAGTCACTTAGGGCAGTGGTTCTCAAAGTGCAGTCCTGGGACTGGCAGCAGCAGCAGCATCTGGGAACTTGCAGATGCAAATGCTTGAGCCCTGCCCTGACCCACCAAAGCAGAGACGCTAGGGCTGCGGTCCAGGCGCGCATTAGAATGAGCCTTTGCTCAAGTGATCCCGACACATGCTAAAGCCTAAAAACCACTGACGTAGAGTAATGTCAGCCTAAAAGGACCCAATGTCAGAAGTTCTCTCTTTTTACTGCACAGGAGGAAGACGTTCTCCCAAGGTTGGGATGCCCAAGGCTCCCTTTGGCGTGGGGTACCCTCAGCTTCCAGCAGCACGCTTACAGCCTACAGCAGGAATGCCAGCCTCCCTGGTCCTTCGGCTGTGTTCACAGGTCTACCCAAGAGCTTCTAGAAAGAGGAGAGAATGTGGAAGGACTTTTAAAGGACCAGGTTTGAGGGACCTTCAAGGCTAGTCCCTCCTTTTATACTCAGGAAACTGACTTGAAAAACTCTTCAGAATTGCATACAAGGCCAGAAGGAAGCTGAGGGCTGGAGGGGAGGAATGTGATAAAGCGTCATCACTAAGTAAATGAACTTCTCAGGTCGGCCTGGAGGCCCTGGCATGGGGGGCAGGAAAACCGGAAGCCTCTTCCTAGAACCCGAAGCCTCGTCAACCTCCCTTTTCAGAGTCATATATGTGGCATGCGACAGGGCAGGATCTATGGTTTGCCAGGACCAAAGTGAGGGAAGGAATTGGTGAGAACAACAACTTTGGCATATACCTTTGCTAAGCTCTGGGCTAGGGAGTCGGGTGGGGGTAACAGGACGGAAACAGAATATTCCAAATCTTCCCCAAAAGCATCCCCAGCCCTCCAAAGGTCTCACAGGCGGCGCTCCAGTCACTGAGGTTTGCTGCCCTTCGGAGACCTAACTCCACCAGGCAGGCTGGTTCCTGCCTCCTCTGGCCCCGACTCTGATAATCACACACACCCTTTAAAGCAAAGGTCAGCAGCTATGGCACGGCACCAGATCCAGCCCCCAACCCATTTTTGTATGGCTCGTAAGCTAAGAATCGTGTCTACATTTTAAAACAATCGAAAAACGCTTTTAAAGACTATTTTATGACACCTGCAAAGCATATAAAATTCACACTTCCGTGCCCATTGATAAAGTTTTACTGAAACACAGATTCGCCCATTTGTTTCATATTTCAAATTACAAGGGTGCACTTGAGTCGTTGCCACAGACACTGTGTGGCCCCCGGAACCAAAAATATCTACTATCTGGCCCTTTTCAAGGCAAACGCTTCTCTAAGAACTTTCCTTGCTTCTTTCCCTCCTGCTGGATTCACCAAGCTTTCCAAGTGTTCCCCTTTCAGTCACGAGGGGATCTGAAACAATCTTGGCATCATCTAAGTCACAAAGATCTGCTCTTAAGAGGGGAAGTTACTGCTACTTTTTTAAATTAAAAGACATTTCCTAATTATTTGTTTCATTTACTAACTAGACCGAGATATTGAAAATTTAGGACTTGAGTAAACATAAGACTGGTATCTGAATATAAACTTTTTGTTGCTACTCACATGCTATGCCAATCTCAGTTGCAAAACAAACAACCCCCCACCCCCAAACCCTTAAGCGCCAATCTGTAAACTAGAAAGTCAGTTCACTGGGGACTATACTTCAAAAGCTAACCTTGTGTTCATCCACTGACAATCAGGCTGCCGACAGCTACCCCAATTGGAACTGTGTTAGGAAAAGTTCTAATTCGGCATGGATACCATTCAGGTATTTGGGATCTGAAAACCAAAATGAATATTTCAGAGCACCTCCCAGAAAAGTTACATAGAGTGACAAGCAAATGGTGTTTGAGGCAGGACCCAGAGCTCCAGCCCAGGAGTGGGGCTGCCTGCAAAGCTGAGCTCTGATGGGTACCGGCCCCTGACAGCCTGCACTGGAGAGGAGGCTGCAGCATCTTTCTGGAACGAGCATACTTAGCACCACTAGAAGTCCCAAGGGTGACCCACTAAATACTGCTGCTCCAGGACCACGACTCGGCATGGCACAGAGAGTCTGAGAGCCAGGTGCCCATGCACACCCAGCATCGGGCTCCTACACAGCTCAGTGCTGCCACTGAGGGTGGTATGGACATTTCTGCCTAATGGCTGAGGGAGTCAAGAGCCACAGAGCTTAGCTTACTGATGCAAGATCACAGAGGGAGCAAGTGGCAGAGCAGGAATACAAGTGCAGGCCAAAGTCAGACCGGGTTCTCTCAACCACGTGGCCACACTGTGACAGCCTGCACCCATCCATGCACAGGCTTGCAGGGAGAAAAGGGTTGCTGGTCTCTTGCAGCTCCGTTCTGCTTCTGCGTTCATTCCAGAGCTGTTTATTTGGAAGCAGGCAGGATTAAATTGTTTTCTATTTGTTCCGCCGGCACTCCATGCCTACCTGTGGAGGACCGGCTACTCTCCTCTATGCCTTCTCTTGAAGCTCGAAGACAGCGGCAGAACGTTAAATAGGGCCCCAACGGGCCAGCCCCAGTTCCTCTTGGACCAGGGCTCCCTCAGCAGCTCTGGAGTCATCTGGCCAGCCAGAGGCAAGAGAAGTGCCAGAACAGCCCCTGAGCGCCGCGCTCCCCCCTCCTGGACAGAGGCTCTGCTGGCCCTGCCATCACCAGCACGATGCAGTCTAGCTTCCAGCCCACTCTCAGCCCACAGGGTGGGAACACAGAGACCGAGGATTCACAACAGGTAGGCAGGTCAAGGTTACTGCGTTCGTTCTTCCAACCTGTGACCGGGCGCCTGGGGTCCTCTGCCTCCGCGCCCGGGGACGAGATGGGGCGGGGAGGCTGCCCGCCCTGCAAACACGCCCCAGCCTGCGAATCCCACCGCCACCCCGGGCTCCGCTGACCCCCGGTCGCTTCCCGCCGCGGCGAGGTGTCCCTGATGCGCGCCTGCCCTCCCGCGGTGCCAGCGTTGCCGGCTCCGCCCGCAGGTCCGCCAGCCGCCGGCGACCGCGGGGACCTGCGTGGCAGCCCGGCCCCGCCCCTCGGCGACCCCTCCGCGGCGCCCCGACTGCGCAGCCCCTGCGCCGGGCTCCCCGCGACCCCGGCCCCGCGCGCCTACCCATGGTGGCGGCTCCGAGGGCTCCCTGCGACTGGCAAGCGAGGAGTCCAGGACGGAGGACTTTTTGCTAAGGCGTTGCTTCCTGTGACTTGGTGTGCAGGCCCTGCCCAGCACCTGTGTAGCTGGAGGCGCTCTGGAGGCGCTCGGGCGGGGCAGCAGGGCTCCACCCTTGGAGGCGGTGGAACGGCAGAGGCAGAGGTCAGAGACCCTGGAGCCCCAGCAGAGGGACACCTGTCCGTAGCCGGCACCTGGACTCCGCTGTTCAGACACCCCTGGCCCTCGGGGGCCGGCCAGAGGCATAGCGCGGGTGACAGGGGGGACCTGGGCCGGGGACGCCCCAGCTTGAGCGCGCATCTGAGCCACGGGGAAGGAGCATGAAATTCAGGGCCCTCGGCCTCAGCTGGATTTGCTGACTCAGTAGGTCGGGGTGGGGCTCGAGAATTTGCGTTTCTAACAAGTGCTAAGGTGAGGTTGACAGCTGTTGCTCAGGGGACCGCACTCTGGAAAGCACTGCCTGGGAAAGCACTACGTCTGCGCAGGGAAGCAAAAGTGGGTGGAAGGCTGCTCAGTTTAATGTGTGCGCGGTGCCCGGACTTGTGTCTTTAGGTGGAGTGTGAGTGTGGAAAGCATTTATGGAGGATTCTGCACTTCCTTTCTTTAAGAATAAAAGGGGACTTCCCCAGTGGTTAAGAATCCGCCTGCCAATGCAGGGGACATGAGTTCCATCCGTGATCAGAGAAGATCCCACATGATGCGGAGCAACTAAGCCCGTGCAACTACTACTGAGCTTGTGCCCTAGAGCCCGGGAACCACAACTACCGAGCCCACGCGCCCAGAGCCTGTTCTCCGCAACAACAGAAACCACCGCAATGAGAAGCCCGCGCACCGCAACGAAGAGTAGCCCCCGCTCGACGCAACTAGAGGAAGCCCACGCGCTGCAACAAAGACCCAACGCAGCCAAAAATAAATAAATAAATAAAATTGATTTAAAAAATAAATAAATCAAAATCTAATAAACACCATTATGCTATTGAAATTGTAAATGTTCACTGCAGAGTCAGGCAATAGAATATGATTACATTTTCATGGTACCTTTTCTGATTACATTTACTCCGTGGTTCCAGTGTTTCACTCCTGTGCCAAGCAGAATGTTCCAGATGTCACTGTCAAATGGATTTCTTTTCTAAGCCCCACCACTGGTTCCATTTGAGGCACGTTTTAGTTTGCCTTACACAACTGTTGTATAGCTTTTCTTCTTCTTTTTCATAATTGCGTTTAGCTTTTTTCTTACTGCTAGAATAAGCACACGCTTTCACTTTATTCTGAAGATTATCCAACTCTCTAATCATGCTATTACATGGAAACCACTTTCTTCTAGAGGGTTCACCCTTACATCTGGCTCCCATCAGGGCTGAGTGCCCTGTGGGCTTGGGGCACCGTCCTGCTGGGACTCCCCTCCAGGGCTCTTCCCGTTAGGATTTCTGCTGTTGGATCCCATGACTCACTGACTTCCTCCCTCCTTCCTTCTCCCCTTCCTTTCCTTCCTTGGAGAACATAATCAGAAAGGGTGCTTGGCAAACACATTTTCTACCTGCCTGAAAACATCTTCATTTTGCTCTTACACCTGAATGAACTTCTTCGTTGGAATTCAATTTCCCTCAGAATTACGAAGACATGGCCTCTTGTCTTCCAGCATCAGTGTAGCTGCAGAGTTCATTTATTTTTTTCACTGTAGGTTTCCTTCTAAGTTTTTCACTCTTCTCATGAGAACGTGCCTAGAGGTGAGTTTATGGGGGTTTTTATACATCTTTATTGGAGTATAATTGCTTTACACTGTTGTGTTAGTTTCTGCTGTATAACAAAGTGAATCAGCTATATGTATACACATATCCCCATAACCCCACCTTCTTGTGTCTCCCTCCCACCCTCCCTATCCCACCCCTCTAAGTGGTCACAAAGCACCGAGTTGACCTCCCTGTGCTATGCAGCTGCTTCCCACTAGCTATCAATTTTGCATTTGGTAGTGTATATATGTCCATGTCACTCTCTCACTTCGTCCCAGCTTCCCCTTCCCCCCAACCCGTGTCCTCAAGTTCATTCTCTACGTCTGTGTCTTTATTCCCGTCTTGCCCCTAGGTTCTTCAGAACCTTATTTTTTTTTTTTTAGATTCCATATATATGTGTTAGCATATGGTATTTGTTTTTCTCTTTCTGACTTACTTCACTCTGTATGACAGACTCTAGGTCCATCTACCTCATTACAAATAACTCAATTTCGTTCCTTTTTATGGCTGAGTAATATTCCATTGTATATATGTGCCACATCTTCTTTATCCATTCATCTGTCAATGGACATTTAGGTTGCTTCCATGTCCTGGCTATTGTAAATAGAGCTGTAGTGAACATTGTGGTACATGACTCTTTTTGAATTATGGTCTTCTCAGGGTATATGCCCAGTAGTGGGATTGCTGGGTCATATGGTAGTTCTATTTTTAGTTTTTTAAGGAGCCTCCAAACTGTTCTCCATAGTGGCTGCATCAATTTACATTCCCACCAACAGTGCAAGAGGGTTCCCTTTTCTCCACACCCTCTCCAGCATTTATTGTTTGTAGATATTTTGATGATGGCCATTCTGACCGGCGTTACGTGATACCTCATTGTGATTTTGATTTGCATTTCTCTAATGATTAGTGATGTTGAGTATCCTTTCATATGTTTGTTGGCAAGCTGTATACCTTCTTTGGAGAAATGTCTATTTAGGTCTTCTGCCCAATTTTGGATTGGGTTGGTTTTTTTCATATTGAGCTGCAAGAGCTGCTTGTATATTTTGGAGATTAATCTTTTGTCGGTTGCTTCATTTGCAAATATTTTCTCCCATTCTGAGGGTTGTCTTGCTATGCAAAAGCTTTTAAGTTTCATTAGGTCCCATTTGTTTATTTTTGTTTTTATTTCCATTTCTCTAGGAGGTGGGTCAAAAAGGATCTTGCTGTGATTTATTTCATAGAGTGTTCTGCCTATGTTTTCCTCTAAGAGTTTTATAAAGTCTGGCCTTACATTTCAATCTTTAATCCATTCTGAGTTTATTTTTGTGTATGGTGTTAGGAAGTGTTCTAATTTCATTCTTTTACATGTAGCTGTCCAGTTTTCCCAGCACCACTTATTGAAGAGGCTGTCTTTTATCCATTGTATATTCTTGCCTCCTTTGTCAAAAATAAGGTGACCATATGTGCATGGGTTTATCTCTGGGCTTTCTACGCTCTTCCATTGATCTATATTTCTGTTTTTGTGCCAGTACCATACTGTCTTGATTACTGTAGCTTTGTAGTATAGTCTGCAGTCAGGGAGCCTGATTCCTCCAGCTCTGTTTCTCTTTCTCAAGATTGCTTTGACTATTTGGGGTCTTTTGTGTTTCCATACAAATTGTAAAATTTTTTGTTCTAGTTCTGTGAAAAATGCCACTGATAACTTGATAGGCATTGCACTGAATCTGTAGATTGCTTTGGGTAGTAGAGTCATTTTCAACAATGTTGGTTCTTCCAGTCCAAAAACATGGTGTATCTCTCCATCTGTTTGTATCATCTTTAATTTCTTTTATCAGTGTCTTACAGTTTTCTGCATACAGGTCTTCCTTTGGTAGGTTTATTCCTAGGTATTTTATTCTTTTTGTTGCAATGGTAAGTGGGAGTGTTTCCTTAATTTCTCTTTCAGATTTTTCATCATTAGTGTATAGGAATGCAAGAGATTTCTGTGCATTAATTTTGTATCCTGCTACTTTACCAAATTCATTGATTAGCACTAGTAGTTTTCTGGTAGCCTCTTTAGGATTCTCTATGTATAGTATCATGTCATCTGCAAACAGTGACAGCTGTACTTCTTTTCCGATTTGGATTCCTCTTATTTCTTTTTCTTCTCTGATTGCTGTGGCTAAAACTTCCCAAACTATGTTGAATAATAGTGGTGAGAGTGGGCAACCTTGCCTTGTTCCTGATCTTAGAGGAAGTGGTTTCAGTTTTTCACCATTGAGAACGATGTTGGCTGTGGGTTTGTCATATACGGCCTTTATTATGTTGAGGTAAGTTCCCTCTATGCCTACTTTCTTGAGGGTTTTTATCAAATCGGTGTTGAATTTTGTCAAAAGCTTTCTCTGCATCTATTGAGATGATCACATGGTTTTTCTCCTTCAATTTGTTAATATGGTGTATCATGTTGATTGATTTGCATATATTGAAGAATCCTTGCATTCCTGGAATAAACCCCACTTGATCATGGTGTATGACCCTTTTAATGTGCTGCTGGATTCTGTTTGTTAGTATTATTTTTTTTTTTGCGGTACGCAGGCCTCTCACTGTCGTGGCCTCTCCCATTGCGGAGCACAGGCTCCGGACGCGCAGGCTCAGCGGCCATGGCTCACAGGCGCAGCCATTCTCTGGCATGTGGGATCTTCCCAGACCAGGGCACGAACCCGTGTTCCCTGCATTGGCAGGCAGACTCTCAACCACTGCGCCACCAGGGAAGCCCTGTTTGCTAGTATTTTGTTGAGGATTTTTGCATCTATGTTCATCAGTGATATTGGCCTGTAGTTTTCTTTTTTTGTGACATCTTTGTTTGGATTTGGTATCAGGGTGATGGTGGCCTCATAGGATGAGTTTGGGAGTGTTCCTCCCTCTGCTATATTTTGGAAGCGTTTGAGAAGGATAGCTGTTAGCTCTTCTCTAAATGTTTGATAGAATTCACCCATGAAGCCATTGGTCCTGGGCTTTTGTTTGTTGGAAGATTTTTAATCACAGTTTCGATTTCAGTGCTTGTGACTGGTCTGTTTATATTTTTTATTTCTTCCTGGTTCAGTCTCAGAAGGTTATGCTTTTATAAGAATTTGTCCATTTCTTCCAGGTCGTCCATTTTATTGGCATATAGTAGCTTGTAGTAATCTCTCATGATCCTTTGTATTTCTGCAGTGTCAGTTGTTACTTCTCCTTTTTCATTTCTAATTCTGTTGATCTGAGTCTTTTCCCTTTTTTTCCTGATGAGTCTGGCTAATGGTTTATCAATTTTGTTTATCTTCTCAGAGAACCAGCTTTTAGTTTTATTGATCTTTGCTATCATTTTCTT